CACCACACACACACACACACACAGGAGTTTAATTTTTACATTTCTAAGCTGTTCGCATTAACTGAGAACATCCTTGATGAGAACTGGTAATAGTCAGATTAGTCCTTAAATTGAGAGTCACTATTTGACCCCAAACAGTTTTCATTTCTAATCCTAATCTGGGACATGAAAAGGTTCCTCTAATCTACCACTGGCTCATTTCTGCAGACATTCAGTTTCAGGGAAACAAGGAATGAAGGCTGTGGAGAAGGGATAAAGAGACAGAGGTTTCAGCAGATCATCTCTTGCTGGTAATAATCAGATTTAAACGTCACAGTTCAGTCYGAGCGTTTAATTAAACCTGGCATCTGCATTAGATTAGATAACTTTAAACACGACTAATTACAGTGTCGTAAACTTCAGATACAAGAGTTCACGCAGCTCTGATGTGAACATTTTAATTGTTAAAACATGATTGCTTCTTTGTATTATTTTAGAATGGTCAGTGATTTAAAACGCAAGCAGGTTTTTATCGGTTATCTTAAAGAACAGCTGCAATTCTCCAAGGCCTTTAACGTTGTCGAACAAAACCTGTTCAACATGACCAATGCAAAAATAAGATAAACCAAAATTGTACAAAGGAATGCCAAAAGAGTCAGTTTTTGTTTTAAATAATATAAAACAAAATCTGAAGAAAAGTCTTCCACCACCATCAAAACAAACTGAAAAACATATTGTTGTTGCACCAGATCCTAATTGGTCAAAACATTTTCATATGGCTTTGTGTAGAAGGAATTGAAGATTATAAAGAGTTATTATTTTACCTGTTTTAGATAWCTCTTTAAATGACCTAAGTTGGAGAGATAAAGTTTAATTCTGATAGAACTGATGAGCTAATGGCTGGTCTATGCAGCTAAAGTGAAACTAAAGTGGTTTGCTGGTTTGTTAAACAACAACTATCTCTAAAATGTCATGGAACTTTATTTAAATGCTGTTTATTTGTTTATAAACTTTTGTGTGCAAATGTTCTGTTTAAAACAACAGAGTAGTAAGGCCACACAACAAAATTAATATATTTTTATTACGAGATAAAGTCATATAATATTATGACATGAAAGTCGTAACATTATGAGAATAAAATCGTATGAGTATAAAGTTAATGTTGCAAGATTAAAGTCATAATATTATGAGAACTTTACATGAAAAAGCAGTCTACCACTGCATTAAAATATTATATGTTGAGCAACTTGTGAAGTTGTTCTGTAGCATCACTTCAAAGAAATAATCTTTTAGCACATTAGCATCAAATCACAAGTAGCAGGACTTTGAAACAATTGTGCAAACGACTATATGATGAACTGAAGCCGTATTGTAATTAATGGCTGTATTGTCACATTTAGTCATCACATAATTTGGATGAAAGCATGTTTTAATAGCAGTGACCCAAAAGTCATYGTGGACTACTTTATAAACACAGAGACACAGATGACTGTCCACAGCAGGTGTCAGAAAAATGTTGAGGAATTGAGTAAAAATTAGGAAATGAAAATAGACAGTTCATGTAAGATTATGACTTTTTATTATAATATTTTGATTTTTTCATAATATTATTACTTCAGTTTCTTAATATTGTCTTTTTTTCTCGTAATTATAAAGAAAAGAAATCTCGTTGTGTGGCCCGAATACTCCATCATAGTTTACCAACATGTAGTTCCAGAAATGTCTTTTTTTCTGTCTTCATAACATTACCTATTGGCCAGATTAATTACTAATTTAGTCAAAATTTGACTTTTTCCCACAAACTGAATTCATTCAAAGAGCTATCTAAAACAGGTGAGATATTTATTCATCAAAACATTTCCACAGCACCTGACTGCAAATTATCCAAACTTTAGCTTTAAGTACTTTTGAGAAAGATCAAACTCGCCTCATATGAGCATATCCTTCCATCCATCCATCCATCTATCCATCCATCCATCCATCCATCCATCCATCCATCCATCCATCCATCCATCCATCCATCCATTTATCCTTTCCAGGTTTCCAAGAACAGATGACTTTCTCCACTCTGGATCTTGCATAAACCAAACATGCATCTTTTTGGTCAAAGGGAGGAATCTGGAGAAAACTTATGCAAACTCCAAGAGAATTCTGCAACTTCCTATCGAGTGCTGACAGCTTCAGCTGCCACACCGCCATGAGCATGGACAGATATTTTTAAAACTTAAGACTTTTTTAAATCTATTGAGTTTAGACAATTTATCTAGCCATCAATAATAGAGTAAATTTAACAAATTCCAATTCTGTGTGCCAAACAATGATTCAATTATCCATTATGATTATAGTCTTAGATGCTGGCTGAGGAATAAAAAGAAAGGCATCATCATCATTTTTTTCCTCACTCAGTTCTCAAACTCGCCAACAATGTGCGTCAAACACCACCATTTGTATTTAAAGGGTAAAAGTATAACTTTAAATCCACAGTAAAATAAACTTTGACAATAAAAGCTGCCAGTTTTAAACTCAAATAAAGGAGAGGAGAATGATGGTGAAACCTGATAAGTAAAGCTCGCTCTTTACTAACTCAAAGATCTTAAAAAAAAAATCAGCATTCATTTAGAAATCTTCATTTATCCTGAGAGGAGCAAGTTTAATCCCATAGATTTAACTGGTGAGCTTTTACCTCAGGCTTTAGTGATGAAGTAAATGTAAAGAGGTTACATCCAGGTACAAAGAAAATGTAAAAAACTCTGCACTTTTCTGCTTGTTAAATGAAAAGGTCAAAGTTTTATTCTAGTAATAAATAAATGGAATATATTTTCTTTAATAACTTGATGTTGCAAGGATTTGTTTAATTTCTCATGTGATGTGTTTATCAGTGTGCATTGCCAATGCAATGCACACTATTGTGATTCGTTTCCCATCCAAGTCATTTCTACTTTGGCACGCTTCTCCTCCTGCATACTTTGTCCTAGAGATGCCATTGTAATTTATATCTGTAAAGCTCCTGTGCCAAATGATTGCTATGCCTTTTGGTGCCTGTACAACTTAAAGTTTTTGAAATATTAATGTTTAAAATCAAATAATGAGAGTCAATGGAGCCTTGCATTGGTCCAATACTGCCCCATGCTGTATCTACTCAGTACTGCACCATAGTTTAATAATATTTAAACTCAGTAGTTCAGTGTTTACAATACAAATATGATTGCATTTTGATATTTCACTATAATATTGTCCTAATATTCCTTAATTGTTGTAATATATTGCAGTTTAGTGTCAACAGTTGCATTGGCAATTTGGCCTCTTTCAGCACACATACAAACTTAACACTGGGAGAGCCTACTGCAACAGCTCCTATAGTCTTATGGTGAACACTATGGGCTTTCATGCGGGAGATCAGGGTTCGTTCCCAGCCATAAACATAATGTTTCATTACAACTACATATTTTCTAATTGTCATATTCTCACACAATCACCCTCATTACAAACAACTGCTGGCTTGGCAGGCACAAGCTGGTACTTGATTAGTAAACACATTTCAACTTGGTCACAGTTCAAGCTGCAGGCAATGGCATGCTACAAGGTAATGCACACTTGCTTTTACATCGTAAAAACCCATGTCTACTTTTTATTGTTTTCTTTGTGTTTCCCTCTGCCTCTGTGTTCTCCCCTCCTGTGCACACCTGATCCTCATGGTGTGCACAATCATTGTCTCGTTAACTCCCCTTTATTTTCTGTGTTTGGGTTCACTCCCCCCATTGGCTCATTGTACAGTATGTCTCACACTCACTAGGTTTGTCCTCTGTATCCCTGCATCTCAGAAAGTAAGTGTCACTGCTGCCTGTCAGCGTTTTTGTTTGTAAAAGTTAAGAAAGGCATGGAAATTATCGGCAATACAGTATATCAAACTGCGAGTACCAAATCGTGAATTTGCTGTGTCGTTTCATCCGGGAATTTAGTGAATTTGGAATTTCAGTAGATTTGTGTAGCAGAAACTCAATCTTTTTTAAGTTAATGAGCACAAGCTCAAAGCAATTTACAAATGACATCAATGCACCAAACAGCAAAACAATGAGAAGTAAAAAACTACAAAAATAGGTTGTGTTACCACTCCAAATACAGAAAACCTCAAAAATAAAAATAAAGCATAATGAGGTTTACTGTCTGCTAATCTGAAAATAACGACAAAAGAAGTGGCAGCAGTTGTAAAAAAAGTTGGTTTGTATAAAAAAATGCAGGAATCTTCATCTATTTAAAGTAATGAGTAGCTGTCGGGAATAAAACCTAATTACCAAAGTCTGATCTGAACAGGGTTAAATAAAAACTAAGAAGCTGAAAGACATTTGCATTCAAAAATCTAATGAGTCGCTCACTCCAGGGTCACGGTCAAAAGAAACATTATTTCTGTGAGCGCGAAGCCGGCTTCAGATTTCACATGGTGGCATAATGGAGGATTAAGATAGAAAACCTCCTGTCATCTGTGGACAGTATGATGAGCTGAGGGGGGGGATTGAAGAAGAGAGAGAGGGATGAAAAAAAAAGACAGAACCAGGCCATTTGTTTAAATGTGCACAACTCTTTCAGACTTTTTCTATTTTATGTTTGTGGTGGATTTATCTGTATATATAAACAAGGCTTCAATTCATTTCAGGATGTGTGCAGAGTAAAAACCAACACACTCACTTTAATTACGCATGTACCAAATTAAAAAGGACTTTGTCAAAAGCCATATAAAATGTTTTGTGTAGTTTCAAATATAAAAAAAGATGTATTATACATGGAACACACATCATCTCAAAACCAACAGTGTTATCAGATACTACAGCCAAAAAAGCAATCTATACAGATCTAATGTGCTGCTCTAACAGCTAAATATCTAATTCATTATGACGGTGTTACTAAGCTAATTACATTTTTATTACATGTTCTGTTTAACTGTTATTAGCTGGTTTAACTTCACTCTGTAGAATCTGAAATCCTGAATCTGAATGCACGTGTTTCAGGCCATTCCACTGATTTATCAGACACTTTTATCCAAAGTGAATTAGCACAGAGCAGTGTAGAGGAGAGTAGAGGGTGTTGGACTGAATACATTTAGAACAAGCTTGTGTTAATCACTCAYGCACACAGTATTTAGCTTTACTCGTAAACGTCATAAAAAATCAAGTGTTTCTACTTGACTGTATTTTATCAAACTGGCTTACCTTAGAAGAACCCAACCATATTACAGCTAATACTTTTAAAAACTGACTTCCTGCTCAGGAGCGGAGCCAGAGAGGTGGCTGGTGTGGCGAGTACTTGGTGCCACCCACAAATAATTGACAAGTGAGTCTTGGATTTTTTATTTGTGTTTAGATTTAAAGATTGTTCTCTGACACTACTGTACTATATGACTATTTTAGCTATATATGTTTAAAAATGGCTGAATTAAAGCCCTTTGATTAGTGGTTAGCTTAAGTTGAAATTAGCATTGACAATCGGCATATAATTTATTATTTACTTTTTCTCCCATAATGTGGTTTCAAATCAGTGGGATCAAGTTGTTTTTTTGTTTTTTTTACGGATGTTCATTTTCCAAAAAGAAGACATTGGGCCTTATGCAAGAACCGTTCGTACGCACAGATTTGTTCTTAAGTTGTGCGTACGAGTGATTTAGGAGAATTTGTGGCATTCACCAATGTTTTCGTATTCTAC